TAAGTTTATTCAATACAATCACCAGTGGCCACAACCATGGCCTCCAGATGACTTTGGAATCTCCTGCAACTTTTCTAGATGTTCCCCTTGTTTAATGTGGTGAATGCTTCCATAATGCTTACCTTCAGTTCATCTTTGGTGTTACAAGGAGTTTTATTGGTCACTTGCTCAACTGCACCCCATACATAATAATCAAGGGGGTTACAGTCTGGGGAGTTAGGTGGTCAGATGTCAAAGGTGATGTGGTTGCAAAAATTGTCTGACAGCCATGACGGAGTACTCCTGCGTGTGTGGTATGGTGCAGAGTCATGTTGCCAGACATATGGTCTTCCAGCAGCCACCCTCTTGACCCAGGGCAGCACTACCTCCTCAAGGCACTTGAAGTAGGCCTGCATGTTGAGTCTGAGGCCCTTGCTAACAAATTTGGGTGTTTTTTGTTATTAGACCGATCAGAGTGAGTTTTCTGAGCTAACCATATCTTCGTAATCACCATTAGACTCATCCAACTCTTTCCAAATCCTCTTCACTCTCTTCAGATTGACACCCAAACACTCTGAAATGTTTGTATTGGAACTTCTGGTGCAATTGTCAAGCAGTACAGCATGCCGTTTCCAAATTTCTGACAGAGTGTATAGCATCATGGTGCTCTTTTTCTCACAGATGGTGCCCAACTGACCCTACTGTACTGCACTGTGCAGTCGACAAGATCAAAAACAAACACGCATGTTCAAATTTAAAAATATAAAATGGCGACAATTTACCCATCGCACCTTGTACATGATGAAAAAGTGTCTGAAAAATAATATTAACAAAATTTTATTGTCAAAATTTTTGTTATTTTTAAGAGGGAAGACCAAAGAATTTGTTTATGTAAAAATTGTTATAAATTCATGACGGTCGTCTTCGAGTATAGAATCCAGAGGTTAGCAGTAAATATTTCAGAGACAGTAGGAAAGCATAGTTCAGGTTAGCAGTGGATATCGCATCAAAGTAGCAGAGCGTAGTACTTCTTTCTGTTCATCTTCGCCTGACAAGTTGGCATTAGTCATTTGGGTAAGGTAAACAAAAATGGCCGCCTTTATACATGATGGATAGAATGTTCTGCGTCTTCTGATTGGTTAACATTCTATTGGTAGACTATAAAGCGAGTCAAGGCATTTAGACTAACTCACTAGTTACATGATATACATAAAAAACTGTAACAAAAATTAATTTTTTTTAAATCCACTTTAGAAGTCTGGTTAAAAAAAAAATATTGTTTTTCTTCTGTCAAAAGGCGACCATAAATTAGTACAGAAAGCTTGAGTATTTTTTTAGTGGTGGAAAAAAAAATTGATTTGGAAATTCTTGTAAAAAAAAATCCGGGTTCAGATTTTAATTAAATTTTCAGGACTAATTCAGAAATTCATTATTTCTTAAATGTTTTTTATAGAAAATACTTATATATATATATATATATATATATATATATATATATATATATATATATATATATATATACATCTGTTACCACATTTAAATTTTTTTGTAGTGCTTAACATTTATATAGGAAACAAGTTGTAGCAGAATTTTATCTTCAATTTTTGTGGCTCAAACAGTACCCCTAGTCACGGAAAATATGCTCCGAATTGTAAAATAAAAAAAATGCAATAAAACAAAACATAATTTAATTAGAAATGCATTTAACTGCTTTTATGAATAAAATACATTATGTACACTATTGTTTTAAGAAAAAACTTTTTCTATGAATAATGAATTTTTACAAAGTATTCTTCCCATTTTTTAAAAATTTTAAAATTATGTATTGATTTTTAGCAGTCAAGTGATATCGATATTAAATAAAATCTAGATTTAAAGAGTGGCAACAATGTTAAATTTAAATTCTTTGTAATTTTCTAACATTTCCTCAACAAGTGAGTAAGTCTATAAAACCAAAGTACCTTAAATTCAATAAAATATTAGATTACTTAGAATATTTTCTTAAATTTGTTAGATTACTGGGTAGTTTAAAAAAAAAAAACAAAAACAAAGAAATTTATATAAAATTTTTTATTTTATTACCATTTGTCTTTGGTTTAATAATAATGTTTAATCATCTTTTGTAATCCTTTGAGAAAAATGTATTTTTAGATAAGATGGGTTGTAAAAAAAAAAAAATTGTTACAGTCATGTGAAAATATATTTTAGAATTAGCAGTTAAAGAGACCGCAAAAATTATTTCTGTGTGAATTGTTGCAGATTCATTTTTTGAATTTATAGAAAAATACTTTTTTCTATTAACTGGCCAATGAGATACATACTTTCAAGCTGTTGGGAAAAACTGGATGGAGCCTGCTGTGATCCTCTTTTCTCAAATAAAACCACTGCAGTTATGGCTTTAGAAAGAACAGCCAACAGCTAAATCTCAACTGGAAGGCAGATTCAGGTCCCAGGACAGAAAGAAGAATTTGAATGAAACAAACACTCAAGTTGAACTTTCCAGAAAAGGACTAGATAAAGTCCTGGAGATAAAACCTGTTGAAAACACAGAACCCCTTTGTGCTAAGACATTCAGTATTCACTTGAAAATATTAGGTGTGTGTGCATTTGTATTTTTTGCGTTGAGCAACTTGTTTTCTCAAAGTTTTGTCCTTTTCTTTTCATTTTTAAAAGATGTAACCTTTTTTTGTAGTATGTTGGAAGTGTTATCATGCCTTAGTTATTTATCCATCCTGGGTATGATGATAAACTACATCCGCGTCCTGAGTAAGACAACTACATCCGAAAGCAAGGCTTTTGATGAGAAGGTTTTGAAGAGCATGGAACCACCTCTTAATTACTGGTGTTCCCAGGTCTACCCTGACCTGGGGTGGCAGCACCTGTCAGGGCCCCAGCTATGGGCAAATAGTTAACTCACAAAAAGAGGTCAAAACACTATGAAAGTTTAAAAATGTGTTTTAATACCAGCAATACTTTTTTGGAAAGTTATTACCAGCTGTACATTTTTTAAAAAGGAAAATATTAACAGCAATACATTTTTGTAAATAAATTATTACCAGCAATAAAAAATCTTGTTGGAATTAAATAATCCATTAAGGCTGGTATGCCGTAAAAGAAATCAAACCAAACATTTTTGAGAAAAAAATATTACCAGCAATACATTTTTGGAAAAAAAATATTACCAACAGTATATTTTTGGAATAAAATATTACCAGTAATAAAAATCTTGTCAGCATAAAATAACCCATTGAGGCTGATATGCCATAAAACAAAACAAACTTAATTATTTATAAGGTGCACAAAATGAAATGTTTGTGCAACAGTCTTATATGTAAATTTTTTGTATTTAAATTTCTTTTCCCTTTTTTTGTATACTGTAATAAATGTTTGACCTTTAAACTTTTTCACAGTGGTTCAGTCTTGTTTGTTTATTGTGCCTTATATAACTTTCTATTGTCACTAACTAGGGTTTTACATCTGGCACAAGAATTTAGATTTGGTAGGGAGTGAATAATATTTATTTTTTGGTTGTATTTGTCATGTAATTTTACTATAATTGTTTCAACTCTTATATAAATCTCACAAACAACAGGTTATCAATAGATATATCAATACATCATTAAAAAAACCCACCTCTATGTTAAAAAATTCTTTTCTGTGATATTTTAAATTAAAAATAACATTTTAATTCAAATTAATTAAAAACCTTTAAATAGATTAATCTTCCTCAAATAAACCTTTAAATAGTTTAATCTTCCTCAAATAAAGTTTCAGAAAAGTATATTTTATTTTCTAAAGATTTTTTTTTAATAAAGAGACCTATGCTGTGTTGACAGATTTGTCTATTGATGATTTTAGTGATTTTATTGATAGTCGAAAAAAATAAAAATTATTCCAATTAATTTAAGTTCAGTTTGAAATACAGTAAAGTATTTTTTTGCTTATTAGAAATATTAAATTTGATTTAAACTTATTTAATATCTCCAATAAGGAAACCTATTGGTTTAAAATTAAATAAAACTATCATTTTAAAAAGCTTCTAGAATTTTTTTTTAAATGCATTTTGGTGCTATTACACTTTCGCACGCCCCCCGTTGCTTCCTGTCACTCAGCAGTGTGTTGCCCTAGGTACGACAGTCTGGAAAAAGTTCTGTTTTTCATTGTTAATTATAATATTTAAATTTAAATTAAAATACAAATCTCGAAAAACAAAAATAAAACCAATATTAAAAAAAAACACACACACAAAAAAAAACCTAACCCTAACCAACGGGGGATGCGAAAATGTATTGTAATAATAGCACCTGCATTTTTAAACTTCAGGTATCGCTTTATTTTATTTATTTATTTATTTTTTTTTTGAAAGACAATAAAATATGACAGAGTGGAAACAGGTTTCAATTCACACATTTCGTCCTTTGTGACTTTATTGGACTAAAAAGGACGAAATACCTCATCACACAAACAAAAACTTGTAGTTTTCAGGACATGGATCGAACTGACTACTAGACGAGTTTGCAAAATTAGCTTGTTAACCACAGCACCTTGACAAGACGTATTATTAGTCCGAATAACCGTCAAAGAAAGAAACATCAGGGTCATTTTTATGCATGGTCATTTAACTCATTATGGAAAACAACACCTGTCCTTGGTCATATCATGCGTGTGACTTTGAAGTCATTTTTTTAAGTAATAATATTTGGATACTGCTATAAAAAAAAATAAACTAAAAAAATAATACAATTTGTAAATAAATCTTTTCTTTTTTCGGTTACCTGTAAAGAGCAGCCTTTTTAAATCAGCAATTAGTCTAGAGAATTTCTCTCTCTGTGATATATTTGGAGACGGAGAGGCTTAAATTAAGAAATACCTGAGAAAGTAAATGAAGAAAGGTAAAAAGAAACGTCATTTAAAAATCGTTTTTCGTCTGAAAACAATAAGTTTTACCGATTTCAGAATGTCAACAAGTGAAAGTACAAAAAAATCAAGCCAAATAAAATATAAACAAAAGTTTAACTCACTTCAACCGGCCTTAAAATCGTCTTAACTACTGACATATAAACAAAATCTGTATGCATCAGCCACTGAGCTCCCTGTCCAAGGCACGCTGCTTAGAAATTTTACTTGCCGGTGTATACCGTAAAATGTCCCGCTTCTTTCTTATGAAAGGCAACGTAATGATTGATGTAATACAGCAATTAAATTAATTAAAAATATATTAACTTTTAAAAAAAAAAAAAAAAAAAAAAAAGGAAATACTTTTTTAGACTTTGGCTGCATTTACTCCATAGTCATGCGTTAAAAAGACCTTGTGCCTCATTCTGTTAAATCATTTTTCGCACACGTTATCGGTTTTTGACAGTCAATCATTATCGTCCAGGCATTGGATATTGGATTGATGTTCAATAATTCGCCAAAACAATAAAATAAAATAAAATAAAATAAAACAGCATAGCATGATGAAAAAAAAAAGCCCCAAATTTTATAAAAACAAAGTTTTACCGTAAAAAAGTTTATGTTATTAATAAGAAGAGGAAAAGCCAAGGTATTTTTTTAATTATTTTTAAAAATTTTTTTTATTCCTTTCTAGCACGTAACATTTTGGTTGAAAATATTGTTTTTTTTTTTTTTTTTTTTTACGTCAGCGGTCACGTAATATTCAGGATTAGGATTTTTTTCCTTCATTGTCGATACATTGAGGTAAAACGTCAATTCACACCTCCAAAATCAATCACCATGGTTAGACATAGTTTCTCTTATTTCCAACTAATTTTATTTTTTCCGCTAAAAAAATTAAGTAATGTCTCTTTCAAATTACATTTAAGTATACTTTAAATTTTCTAATTTTCCTAAAATAACTTTTTTGAAAAAAGTATCATTGAATTTTACAAAATTTTTAAACGGAGAATTTCACTTTTGTTTACAAAATTGTAAAAAAAACGGCTTACATGATTGGTAAATTTTGATGACTCAAAAAATAACAAGATTTTTAACTAAAATTTCGGATGTGCTTGAAATTAAACTTTTTTAAAAAAATATTCAAAAAATAGTTTGGTTTTTCTTCTAAACATTTAAACGATAAAAAATTGTTTAAGCAAGTTTGGGGCTTTTTCATTAGGGTATGTTCTGTTTTAGCGAAATATTGGACATATCTACGTCACATCTGGTCTTAGAGATTCCAGAATATACTTGTTAAAATCTAAAGAAGAATCTGCTATGTTATTCGTTCTGGCATATCGACTCCAGTCACTTTCCCATCGCCGTAAAATAGATTCCCTGTGCCTTTTTTCTCTATAAATATTTTCAGTTTTTCGGTATAGTTTTTAATTGTTCTGATGAGTTTTCCTCTTTTGTATCTCAGCTTTATGAATTGGGGCACAATTAGGTCCCCTCATTTTACAACTGAAATGACTAGCTGTAACCGTAACTTCTATGGTAAGAGTTTCTTCTCCCGCACTTCTTGCCCGTGGAACTCTCTTCCGACTTACTGCTTTCCATTCAACTTTGAGCTTCAAAATTTAGTCAATCGTTATCTTTTGTTGTTTTAATCTGTTTATTCATTGTTCCCTCTCTCCTTAATAATGTTTAAATATTCTTTCACACTCAATAACCCTATAGGAAATAAACCCTATTTTCAACACAATACCATATCTACATACAAACTTTTGTGATGTTAACGAACACTCGTTGCTACTTTTGTAATGTCAACGAATACTCGTTGTCACTTTCGTAATGCTCGTTGTAGTAGAGACTTTGTAATTGCAGGTACAACTATAGTAACGCCGTTGAACAATACGGGTGTCAGACGCCGTCGAATAACATCCGCACTAATAGTACTTGCTCGTTAATACTCGCTCGAATAGCAACCACCGAATAGTGATCCGAATAGTAATCTGTATAGTAATCCGTATTTAGTGTATTACTTCAATTTAATAATATTTATTAGTGATCTAACTAATTCCATTGGTTAAAAATGTTCCAATACATTTCCTACGTAAAAAAGAGTGGATCACAGAAGTTAAATCTTCTTATCTGACTATTTTACTGACCGTTGATTGGTTAATAAATATTTAAACGTGTTCGACGTCGACGCTTTCGTGTTTTCCGAAAAAAAAAAATCGAAACAGCTCCCGGAGCCGAGCATGTAACTTGAAAGTTAACAAATACGGTAACGTGACATTAATCTTCAGTGAACTTTGCGACATTAAACAATTTGCCAAAAAAAAATAAAAAAATAAAAAAAATAATGCCGTTCAATTCTTTGAAGTTTCTAAGATTTCCTAACATAATCACAAATTTCGAATTCACTCACTCACTTACCAAACAAACTACACTTCAATGTGCGTTCTGATAATAACTTATTGAAAGCAAACTTAATCTTCCTGGCGAATATCAACTCTGCAGGCGACATTTCAGACACGGTGTTCGGGTTTGGTGTTTTTTCTGTACTGAACAAAACAAGATCTAGATTTAAAATTCAAATGCTAAGTCGAATTTACAAACTTTGCTTAACACACACGCAAAAATGAATCGACAACAAAACTCATGGAATTTCACACCTTGATGCGAAATGTTTTTTGGCCAATAGAAAACTAGGAAAACATTTAAAAACAAAATTCAAATAATCTTCAATTCTCAAAAACAAATTCTTTTACGGACCTTTTCGCGAGCCGACGCGAAGTTTGTTTCGTCGTCCTATGGAAAAGCCCGAATCATATCCGGGAGTAAATTCCCAAATGACTTTTTCAAGCCCAACAAACAAAATAAAAGACGGGCAAGTTCGCCTGTCACCAGAGAGAAGGAGACGAGCGTATTAATACGTCCCTTGACAAACGTCAAGCGATCGTTATTATTATCTCTACTTTTCTCCCTCACTTCTTTTATACTTGATAAACGAACGGAATATTTTAAGACTGAGCGATTAATTCAAAGACATGCCTAATCTTCAATAATGCTGATACATATATACATACATACATACATACATACATACATACATCTACATGTACGTTCCTGCCTACGTACACATAAACTCATTCTTGCAAAGACTACTACGAACATTTTGACGATCTTGTATCAACCAAAATACATTAATTTTATTTGTAGAGACCTTAATTGATTTATATGTATATAAATTTGTTGTTTCACTTTACAATTTGATTTTCTAGTTTTATATTTCTCTTATGGTGGGCTATCTAACTAACAAGGCCAAATCGAATTAATCTGTTTCAACACTCATACGCTTCACTTTAACTGATAACCCACTATAATTCTGTAAACACTCAGAAATTGCTGAATCATTACTTCATCTAACTCCTCTCCCTCCGGCTTTCTTAGTCCTCTTTTAAAAGTGCCGATAAACCGTTCCGCTTGCCTGTTTGATCTTTTGTGATAAGGAGGAGTTGTAATATGTTCTATTGCTAATGATTTCCAAACAAACTTAAATTCCCTAGACGTGAATTTAGTCCCATTATCTGCAACGATAGTCAGGAACACCTAACCTTGTAAAAATCTCGGGTAGGGAATTTATCGTTACCGCGGTAGTCGGTCTTCTACATTTTAATATTTCTGACCATTTAGTGTAACTATCGACTTCTACTAGATAGTATGCTCCGTTTAACCGTCTTGTAAAGTCTATATGTATTCTAGACCATGACATATCGGTTGTCGGCCAAGGTTGAATTTTGATAGCCGATAACTTCGCTGCCAGAGCACAACCTCTGCATAACTTCACTAAATTTTCGATATCCTTATCCATTTTTGGTCAGTAAGTATAACATGTTGTTGCGGAGTGATTTCGCAGTGGAGGCTTGTGTTGGTACTAAGTCGGTCCTAAAACAGGTTCGACGCACAAAACGTTAGGAACTTGATATAATAGGTATAACGCAGAGTAATCTAGTTGCGGTCGCTGATACTTTAGTATTCGACTAACTGTCGTCCCGTATCGACTGATTGACCGACCCACCCACTGACTTACTACTCCTACTTATTATAGGTGGGAGAGTCTATTAACTATAGAATAGGCGTGTTCCACTATAACATGTCATCCTAGAAATTCCGGGATGTCCTCTGTGAAATTCTTTTAACATAAGTCTTTGCAACGATGCTGGTATCACCCCCCCCTCTCTCTCTCTCCCCCCACCATAAGTACATCATGAAAATGTATTATTTCTAATAGTATTTTTTCGATCTTTAGATCTTAATTTCTCTTTCATTTTCATTATAAAGTCGACTTTTCCCGCCTTAATTCGTATTTCCTCCAAAGAAAGTCATGGGTAGTTCTTTTACGGTATTGCATAATACGTTATTAATTTCATTTTCAACACAATACCACACATACGTACAAACCATATTAAAACACGCGCAAACTTTATTCTCTACCCAATAACAGACTGTTAGACATTTTCATGACGGTCGTCTTCGAGTATAGAATCCAGAGGTTGGCAGTGAATATTTCGGAGACAGTAGGGAATCGTAGGTTCGCAGTGGATATCGCAGCAAGGTAGCAGAGCGTAGTTCTTCCGTCTGTCCTGTTCGCCGGACAAGTTGCCTCTGGTCCTTCCAGTAAGAAAACAAAGATGACCGCCTTTATACACGACGGATACAGTGTTGTACGGCTTCTGATTGGTCAACCTTCTATTGGTCGACTATTAAGGGAAATAAGTCATTTTGACTCGCTCACTAGTTATATACAGCATATACCCCCAAAACTGTAACACAGACAATATTACAAACATGCGAAAAAATTTCACAATACAAAACACACCGTTTACCTCAAGGTATCTTGTAGTGAGTGCGAAATAATAATAACTACCTTCACCTATTCCCTTCAAATTCGGAGGACTTGGGAAGTTACCCCACTTACTTTACTATGAAAACGACTGTAGGGGACGCTCTCCGAGCCTATAGATAGGCAGTGACATTCTGTCTTTTACCTATTTTACACAACAACGGTACTTCGAACGAGGAAAATGCTTTCCTTCTGGGGGAAACGCACATACACGCACGTACGCATCTTTCACTTCATTTTCTCTAGGATTTTCTCCTACACTATACACACATACACATTCTTTAGTCTTTAAATTTCTTCATTGATGTTCATTGTTCATTGTTTAGGTAGTTAAATAGATAGATATGAAGAGAATGAGATAGACAGATAGATAATCAGGAAATTTCGATTGATAGATAGATAATCTATCTTTCTATTATTCTAAATGCATGGATAATGAACCGTAAATATAGATAGATTAACCGTCACATGATAGATAGATAGATAGATAGATAGATAGATAGATAGATAGATAATGAACAGTATAAGATTGATTATCTATATCATTCTAGACAGATAATGAGGAAATGGCGATAGATGGCATTGTGATAGATATAGAGAAAGATAATCTATCTTGATAGATAGATAGATAGATAGATAGATAGATAGATAGATAGATAGATAATGAACAATATAAGATAGATTAAGTATATCATTCTAGATAGACAATGAAAAGAGATAGCTAGATAGATAGGTAATGAATAGTCCTTTCTTCCCGCTTTCTTTGGTAAGTTGTCTATGAGCTTTGACAATTTACATTCCAAGTCTGCTATCAACACAGTATCATGTGTCATATGTCATTCAGATTATGCTGGTGTTATGGTTAAGGAGGTGCTAAAGAGATGATAGGTACGTGATACTTTTCAGGGGATTTAAGAAATTTTTTAAATTTTATTTATTGAAATGAGCTTACTGCTACACACACTTAGGCCGGAGAGAAGTGTGAACAGGACGATAGATGAACCCATCTACTCCTATTGTAGCGAGAGAAAAAAATTATAATAAAATTCCGATGGAGACGTTAGAAGTATAGTGTGGAACGTAGACTTTAAAAGGAACACGAACATTCAAAAAAAGTTTTTGATTTTAAAAGTAGTTGCTAAGTTATTTAAAAGAAGTTGATTAGTCAGTTATGTGCCATGCGTGATGCACGCTGAGGCGATCATGTATCTTTCGATACATGACTGACGAGGCAGGTTTTTTTTTCCCGAAGTAGTTTGCTATTTCTTTCCGCGGTAGACCAGTTGCCATCCAAGGCTATAGAACCAGGTCTGCCCTGCTATTTACCCATAACTTTTGAGAAGAAAAAGTAGTTGCTAAGTTACTTTAATATGACAGTCGTTTTTTACAGTATGGGAAGACTAGCAGATATCTAGATTGAAAAAAAAAAAACTAAGAAAAATCATGGCAGATTTAGGTAGTTAAATAGATATGAAGAGAATGAGATAGACAGATAATGAGGATATTGCGATAGATAGATAGATAGATAGATAGATAGATAGATAGATAGATAGATAGATAATGAACAGTATACCAGAGATAAATAGACAGAGAGATAATTAACAGTATAAGATAGATTAAGTATATCATTCTAGATAGATAATGAACAGACTGAGATAGATAGATAGATAGATAATGAACAGTATACGATAGTGTTGTGGTACGATCCACCTAATTTACATAGTGGAGTACCGACCATATAAATATGGGTTGGTACCGGAAGACGTGGGAGAAGTAAGAAGAGATCCAATCCAGAGACTCTGCCCGACTGCGATTAAGTCAACCCATTCTACAGGAACAGTCTTCCCAAGAATATACCAAAACTAACTGTAAATATTGTGTACCTTTTCCTTGTTTCAATACATATTGTTTACGTACATTTTGTGTTGTATTATTATTATTCCATGCTTATCCAAGTTTCAACAGATAGAAAAATAGATAGAGAGATAATTAACAATATAAGATAGATTAAGTGTATAATTCTAGATAGATAATGAACAGACTGAGATAGATGGATAGATAGATAGATAGATAGATAGATAGATAGATAGATAGATAGATAGATAGATAATGAACAGTATACGATAGATTAAGTATATCATTCTAGATAGATAATGAACAGACTGAGATAGATAGATAGATAGATAGATAGATAGATAGATAGATAGATAGATAGATAATGAACAGTATACGATAGATTAAGTATATCATTCTAGAGAGATAATGAACAGACTGAGATAGATAGATAGATAGATAGAGAGATAATGAACAGTATACGATAGATAAATAGATAGAGAGATAATTAACTGTATAAGATAGATTAAGTGTATAATTCTTGACAGATAATGAACAGACTGAGATAGATAGATAGATAGATAGATAGATAGATAGATAGATAGATAGATAGATAATGAACAGTATACGATAGATAAACAGATAGATATATAAATAGATAGACAGATAATGAACAGTATACGATAGATTAAGTATATCATTCTAGATAGATAATGAACAGACTGAGATAGATAGATAGATAGACAGATAGATAGATAGATAATGAACAGTATACGATAGATTAAGTATATCATTCTAGATAGATAATGAACAGGCTGAGATAGATAGATAGATAGATAGATAGATAGATAGATAGATAACGAACAGTATACGATAGATAAATAGATAGAGAGATAATTAACAGTATAAGATAGATTAAGTGTATAATTCTTGACAGATAATGAACAGACTGAGATAGATAGATAGATAGATAGATAGATAGATAGATAATGAACAGTATACGATAGATAAACAGATAGATATATAAATAGATAGACAGATAATGAACAGTATACGATAGATTAAGTATATCATTCTAGATAGATAATGAACAGACTGAGATAGATAGATAGATAGACAGATAGATAGATAGATAATGAACAGTATACGATAGATTAAGTATATCATTCTAGATAGATAATGAACAGGCTGAGATAGATAGATAGATAGATAGATAGATAGATAGATAGATAGATAGATAACGAACAGTATACGATAGATAAATAGATAGAGAGATAATTAACAGTATAAGATAGATTAAGTGTATAATTCTTGACAGATAATGAACAGACTGAGATAGATAGATAGATAGATAGATAGATAGATAGATAGATAGATAATGAACAGTATGCGATAGAAAAACAGATAGATATATAAATAGATAGATAATTAACAGTATAAGATAGATTAAGTATATCATTCTAGATAGATAATGAACAAACTGAGATAGATAGATAGATAGATAGATAGATAGATAGATAGATAGATAGATAGATAGATAATGAACAGTATAGGATTTATTATCGACGGATATAACCTTAACGATAAAAATATGTGGATTAGTCGTCATTATTCTTGAGTACGTAGACATATAAGGAGTGTTTTGACTTGTGTCTCGTCTACATGTGGACTCAAATACTTGTCAAATGTCATGTCAAAAGTAAATAGACACCAAACTAAATTTGGAAGCCATGGATAATCAACAGAATTTGTCATCATTTTCTTTCAGTACGTAGGCGATCATGGCTCTCCACCTCCCTCTATCCCTTGCAGCTCTCAACAAGTTCCTTCCCTCTGCCTCCTCCCCCAGGCCACGTTCTGTCATCCACTTGCTAGGTGTGTCATGCGTTGTTTTTCCTTGTCTCTCTTTCCCGATATTCGACCCGTGAGTATCAGATTTTCCAGGCCCTTCTTCCTCATGATGTGTCCCAGGAAGTTCAGCTGCTTCTTTCTGATCTTAAGTATAAGCCTCCTCCATGTTTGCAACCTCTCTAGGATCGCATCGTTGCTCACACGCTCGGTCTATGATATCCTCAGCATCCTTCTGTAGAACCACATCTCCGTCGCCTATTTTACAGTATTGGGACACCTTTTCAACACGTTGTCCTTTTTTTATATCATCCACGTACGGGTTGTTTCAAAATTTCTGAAACAAAATGACTGGGCACAAATCAAGGATCACAAATGCAATGGAAATTGCATTTATTGAAAGGATAACATTTTAGGATCTGCAATCATTTAGTCTCAAACATAAAACCAAAAATATCAAGAGGATACCTAGTATTCAAGCTCCTGATGACCGCTGTTCAGTTGAATGCAAAGTTTTTGATAACGTGTGCACATCCCCCCCCCATGTGATCGCTTGAATCTTCTCAGTGATGGCTGCCTTCAATGCAACAACGGTGCGGGAGTTGTCCTAGCAGATGTTGTTCTTGAGGAACTTCCAGAGGAAGAAATCTGAGGGGGTTCGAGTCAGGCGAGTGAGGTGTCCATTCCACTTCAGCTTCTGTTGATGAGACGTTCTCCAATCTTCCCACAAAGCCATGCCAGGGTAACATTAGCAATGTGAGGAGGAGCACCATCTTGCTGGAACCACTGTTCCTCTTCATCAATAAATTGTAATACATTAAGAATATCTATACTGTATCTGTCTATATTTCTGAGATGAGGTATTATGTACACTATTTACATTATTCGGTCTATTGTCCTCATCTTTGTCGCCATATTTATTACAACGTTTCGGCCTTTCAGTATCTGTCTATATTTCTGAGATGAGGTATTATGTACACTATTTACATTATTCGGACTATTGTCCTCCTCTTTGCTGCCATATTTATTACAACGTTTCGGCCTTTCAGTATCTGTCTATATTTCTGAGATGAGGTATTATGTACACTATTTACATTATTCGGACTATTGTCCTCCTCTTTGCTGCCATATTTATTACAACGTTTCGGCCTTTCAGTATCTGTCTATATTTCTGAGATGAGGTATTATGTACACTATTTACATTATTCGACTATTGTCCTCCTCTTTGCTGCCATGTTTATTACAACGTTTCGGCCTTTCAGTATCTGTCTATATTTCTGAGATGAGGTATTATGTACACTATTTACATTATTCGGTCTATTGTCCTCATCTTTGTCGCCATATTTATTACAACGTTTCGGCCTTTCAGTATCTGTCTATATTTCTGAGATGAGGTATTATGTACACTATTTACATTATTCGGACTATTGTCCTCCTCTTTGCTGCCATATTTATTACAACGTTTCGGCCTTTCAGTATCTGTCTATATTTCTGAGATGAGGTATTATGTACACTATTTACATTATTCGGACTATTGTCCTCCCTCTTTGCTGCCATATTTATTACAACGTTTCGGCCTTTCAGTATCTGTCTATATTTCTGAGATGAGGTATTATGTACACTATTTACATTATTCGGACTATTGTCCTCCTCTTTGCTGCCATATTTATTACAACGTTTCGGGCCTTTCAGTATCTGTCTATATTTCTGAGATGGGGTATTATGTACACTATTTACATTATTCGGTCTATTGTCCTCTTCTTTGCTGCCATATTTATTACAACGTTTCGGCCTTTCAGTATCTGTCTATATTTCTGAGATGAGGTATTATGTACACTATTTACATTATTCGGACTATTGTCCTCCTCTTTGCTGCCATATTTATTACAACGTTTCGGCCTTTCAGTATCTGTCTATATTTCTGAGATGGGGTATTATGTACACTATTTACATTATTCGGTCTATTGTCCTCTTCTTTGCTGCCATATTTATTACAACGTTTCGGCCTTTCAGTATCTGTCTATATTTCTGAGATGAGGTATTATGTACACTATTTACATTATTCGGACTATTGTCCTCCTCTTTGCTGCCATATTTATTACAACGTTTCGGCCTTTCAGTATCTGTCTATATTTCTGAGATGGGGTATTATGTACACTATTTACATTATTCGGTCTATTGTCCTCTTCTTTGCTGCCATATTTATTACAACGTTTCGGCCTTTCAGTATCTGTCTATATTTCTGAGATGGGGTATTATGTACACTATTTACATTATTCGGTCTATTGTCCTCTTCTTTGCTGCCATATTTATTACAACGTTTCGGCCTTTCAGTATCTGTCTATATTTCTGAGATGAGGTATTATGTACACTATTTACATTATTCGGACTATTGTCCTCCTCTTTGCTGCCATATTTATTACAACGTTTCGGCCTTTCAGTATCTGTCTATATTTCTGAGATGGGGTATTATGTACACTATTTACATTATTCGGGCAATTGTCCTCATCTTTGCTGCCATATTTATTACAACGTTTCGGCCTTTCAGTATCTGTCTATATTTCTGAGATGGGGTATTATGTACACTATTTACATTATTCGGACTATTGTCCTCCTCTTTGCTGCCATATTTATTACAACGTTTCGTCCCTTCAGTATCTGTCTATATTTCTGAGATGAGGTATTATGTACACTATTTACATTATTCGGACTATTGTCCTCCTCTTTGCTGCCATATTTATTACAACGTTTCGGCCTTTCAGTATCTGTCTATATTTCTGAGATGAGGTATTATGTACACTATTTACATTATTCGGACTATTGTCCTCCTCTTTGCTGCCATATTTATTACAACGTTTCGGCCTTTCAGTATCTGTCTATATTTCTGAGATGGGGTATTATGTACACTATTTACATTATTCGGTCTATTGTCCTCATCTTTGCTGCCATATTTATTACAACGTTTCGGCCTTTCAGTATCTGTCTATATTTCTGAGATGAGGTATTATGTACACTATTTACATTATTCGGACTATTGTCCTCCTCTTTGCTGCCATATTTATTACAACGTTTCGGCCTTTCAGTATCTGTCTATATTTCTGAGATGGGGTATTATGTACACTATTTACATTATTCGGTCTATTGTCCTCTTCTTTGCTGCCATATTTATTACAACGTTTCGGCCTTTCAGTATCTGTCTATATTTCTGAGATGAGGTATTATGTACACTATTTACATTATTCGGACTATTGTCCTCCTCTTTGCTGCCATATTTATTACAACGTTTCGGCCTTTCAGTATCTGTCTATATTTCTGAGATGGGGTATTATGTACACTATTTACATTATTCGGTCTATTGTCCTCTTCTTTGCTGCCATATTTATTACAACGTTTCGGCCTTTCAGTATCTATCTATATTTCTGAGATGAGGTATTATGTACATTATTTACATTATTCGGTCTATTGTCCTTATTCTTTGTCGCCATATTTATTACAAAGTTTCGGCCATTGTACGCTCCGGCCTTCTTCAGGTGGTTGGAATGTCGAACTGAAACCTGAAAGTTCTCCACTGCCTTAACCGGGTATTGAACTCACACTCCTTGGGTCCTGTCACTGGACAATACCTGAGCGGTTGGCTGTGATTGTTCTGTTAGTGTGTATTGTGCAGTCCCATAGAATTGTAACAGGTCCTATTTCCGTAACCGGGTTTGGGTGGTATTCATACCAGTTTCTTTCAGTTTCCTTCCCGTAGAAGTTGCAAATTTTCCAGTGCAGATATTGGCCCACACTGTCATGCCGGGTTTTATATTCAGTGGGTGCCAATATCGTGCAACCTGATACAAGATGATCAATCGTTTCTGGATATTTATCACAAAATCTGCATTTTAGACTGGCACAATATTTTAGTATATGTGCTTGATAATTCCTAGTTAGCAAGCATTGGACCTGCGCAGCAAGGATAAAACCTTCAATTCCAGCTTTCAACCCTGCACTACGTAGCCACTGATGGGTACGGGTTTTGTCTACGTCATCTTGTTTGGTACGGGCAGAGTATTGGCCATGAAGCGGTTTATCTTGCCATCGCTTGTGTATCTGGTCGGTTGCATTCGTCTTTGCTGTCTTTTTTAAGTATTTTGCAGTTTCAGTCGGTGTATTGTACTGTACTTGCATCTCTACGCCCATTTGAAACTCTATTTTGAATTTTTTGGCTTCTTCTTCTTATTATTATTCTGTTGAAGGCAAAATTGGTGATAAGGCGTGTACATTCCTCCTGAGTGATCGCTTGAATATTCTCAATGATGGCTGCCTTCACTGCAGCAGTGATTGTTCTGATAGATGTTGTCGTTGAGGATCCCCCACAGGAAGAAATCTGAGGGGCCAGGCAAGTAAAGTGCCCATTCCACTTCAGCTTTGCAGATGATGAGACGCTCCTAAACTTTTCACAGAGCCATGCCATTGTAAATGCTGGTTGTGTTGAAAAGATTAATGTAGCTGCGTGTTGAAGAGCATTTAACATTCATACATTTTTAAAAAATAAAAATCAAGGAAAAACAATGGAAAACCGATTTGTGTTTCAACGATAAAATATATATTAAAATCAACAAATACAAAATTTTTGTAATGTGTGAATAATAAGGAGAAAAAAGTGTTTTCCCTTTATCTGTTAGCTGAATAAGATAAACTGTAATAAAGCAAGTTTTCTGATTAGAATGTTCAAAGTTCTGTATTGAAATAGAATGTTGTATTCAGAAGAACATACAGTAAATTCAGTTGTGTTATTTGTATAACTAACAGTGCCGTTGCAACTTGGCTTGTTCACAGAGAACTGATGGTGAATGAAATTC